GGGCCCTTCCCAGTGATGCCAGGTGTGGAGTACAAGGAAATATGTCTGACCTGTACAGAGATGTGTTAATGGTGTACTTTCTGGATGAAAACTTGCTAGTTGAGTTCCATAATGAGGTGCAAAAAGGACAGAGACTTGATCTGTATACATAGAGGAATAAGATTCTGTCTGTGGTAGCTGGAATGAGTGAGGGGCCATCGCTCATGAATGAGTAAGATAATTCCCATAAGGAAGACACCTGTGCATGACTTATTTTAACGTGAGGATGTTATTGCACACCAACAAACTCCTGGTCCTTGACAGATAGGGATGTAAGTCTAATGGAATGGAATCCAAGATGATTGGAGACCCTTGATCTGCTGCAGCCTTCATCCACCTTCACAGCCACTGAAAAGGGGGTTACACTTTTTTGCACCTGGTCCACCATTGAGGTCTTCTTGGATTGCTCTTAGTCAGGAACCTCCCCCTCGACCTTGCCACCATGGATGATCCTACCAGGAGCATGAAGCTCCAGATGGCCTTGCTCTCAGGATCACTGGAACACGCAAACCTCCTCACCACTACAAGATGGCGATCCCCAGAGAGGAGTAGCTGGAATAGTGGGATGGCCACTGTATAATTATGATGTTCCTGGGTTCAAGAACCGTTATTTCAGGGCATTCTGACAGATTTGCAGCTGGCTGCATAAGGAATCAATGCCCAGCTTCCATTAAACCAAATAGAGCACCAGTTAGGAGATGTTTGTAAGCTTGTGTTCCAGACTTTGGGGGAAGTCAAGGCAAAGAGGGAAGGTTGTAGCTATAACAGGTGCTTGTGGTAAAGATTGGTGGGGAAAATCTCCAGGGATATTGCTGGGAGACCCAGAGAGGCTGGAAGTGTGAAGACAATTGTTGAAATATGAAAATAAGAATGATATTGATGGAAAACTGACCACTGATCTATTGTACAGGCTGGCAGCTCACAAGGACAAGGGGAAGAATAGAGGGGAAGGAGATGTGGAAAGCCATTGCCCTGGGATTCCCAATATGGGTGCCCCATAGCTCCAGTCTCATCCCCTGAAATTGTAGCACCTATTAAAATGGATTGGTGGGGATGGCCAGTGATTAAGATCTGTTGAGAAGATGACAATAGGGCTATAGGGATTAAGCCAATGCTAGAGAATACAGGCACCTCAATGACACTTTTGAGTTCGGAATTTGAAACATCAAAGCTGACTGCTGGACACAGGATGTTGGAAGGCCTTAATGGGGCAGAGTATGACCCCCCGATGGGTCAAATTGAATTTGGAATTCAAGAGAGTCCCTTGTGTGGGTGTACCAGGGACTGGGACGCAGCTCCCGTTAGACCCCTGTGGGACTGGTGTCACTGGGGCAAAACTCACCCAGTGGGGTCCAGGTGAGCCGTGCTTCCCCAGTGCACTGGAGAAGAGCTCCAGGAGAAAAGCATCCAGTGGGGTCCAGGTGGGCTGCGCTTCCCCAACACGCTGGAGAATAACTCCAGGGAGAAAAGCACCTGGTGGGGTCTGGGTGAGCTGCACTTTCCAGTGTGCTGGTGAAGAGACCTGTGGGGAAAATGGAGTGGCATGCCGGCTCAGGTTTGGGGGAACGTGTGCTCTCAGGAGCCAGTGCTGATTAGCCCAGGAGGAAGCCCAGACTGGTTCAAGAGAGATGCTGAGAGAGGCATGGTGCCCAACATCTTCAGGAGCAAAGGTGGTGCAGCAGTACTGGGAGGAAGACCCACAGCACTGCAGACCTAGCCAGCCGAACCCTTGTGGGATGCCAGGATCCAGCAACCACAAGTGACTGACCCACCCAGTGTGTCCAGTAAGATAAGTAGCACCAGATGATGGGATAGTGGTGGCTGGCCCCACAAGCCGGAAGGCAGGGAACAAGAGGGACAGCCAAGCCTAGATGGGGAAGAGGATGGGAGAAGACCACTGAGTTGGGGTTAGACTCAAGGGACCCCTAAATTAACCCAGACAAAGGAGGGATTTCTCTGGCCGGACTGAGTAAATAGTCACCTGGTTTGAGCAGCTGTAGGGGGCTCAGCTGAACTGTAAAATCCAGAGGCCCAGGGTTTTCTTTATAGCCTTATGAAGTGCCACAAGCCAGGTGGGCGAGAGCCTGTTTCTTTTTTCTTTTTTTAGTACTCCCAAGTGAGGTAGAGAACACAGGGGAAAGGAGGATCCTTTATGTATTTGAGTTGTAGCTTATGGGGTCTTAATCCGTACACCCAGACCATATAAGCCATTTAGTTAAGAGTCCGGGGGACCAGCAGAGAGAGATTTCACCCCTCTAGGCCTATTAATCCAGGGAGAAGCACCAAATGCAGGGCCTCACAATAGAGAAGTCAGAGGCTGTAACAAGGGGAGTGCACGAAAGAAAGATGAACACAGACAAGAACAGAACATCTGAACCTGAAGAGACAGACCTATCTTGAGGAGAGGGACACCAACCAGTTGTGAGACCAGTAACTGAACCAAGTCAGGGAGGAATCAAGATTCCATGATCCAATGTACCATCACCAGAACATTACAGCTTGTCACCTGAGAGAAAAACCTGATGTCATTTAATAAAGAGAAATGCAAAGTGCTCCCTCTGGGGAGAAATAATCCACAACACACTTACAGGCTCGGCAATACTATGCTTGCCAACACCATAACTGAACAAGACCTGGGTGTCGTGATAGACAACACAATGAACATGAGCCACCAATGTGATGCTGTAGCTAGCAGAGCTAATCAAACACTGGCATGCATCTACCAAGGCATCTCAAGCAAGACAAAAGATGTCATCCTCCCGCTCTACTTGGCCTTGGTGAGACCACAGCTGGAGTACTGTTCCAGTTGTGGCCGCTGCACTTCAGGAAGGATATGGCGAAGCTCAAGAGAGTCCAAAGGAGGGCCTCACACATGATTAGAGGCCTAGAGACCAAGTCGTATGAGGAGAGACTGAAAGACTTGGGACTATTCAGCCTGGAGAAGAGGAGACTCAGAGGGGACTTGGTGGCAGCCTATAACTATATCAAGGGAGTACATCAGGGCATAGGAGAGAAACCATTCACCAACGCCTCCCAGGGGAGGACAAGAAATAATAGGCACAAACCGATTGAAGATAGCTTTAGACTAGACATAAGGAAACACTTCTTTACAAGTTGAGTACCAGGGGTTTGGAACAGGCTCCCCCCAGAGGTGGTACAGTCAGCCACCCTGGCGATCTTCAAAAAGTGCCTTGATGTCCATCTTGCTAGGGTCATCAGACCCCAGCAGTCTTTCCTGCTCAAGTACAGGGGGGCTGGACCCAATGATTTGTAAGGTCCCTTATGGCCCCAAACAACGATAAGAAAAGGGCAGGGTGTAGGGGTGGAGGAGTCCTGTGGTCCAGGTGGACCAACTCACGTGATACCATCCATCCTCTCAGAGATTATCGTTACAACAAATCATGGCAGGCGAGAGACAGGGAAGATGAGGCAAAGGTCCCAGTGATCATAACAGGCCATAGAGAGGTGAGGGGACACACATGCCCACTGTGTGCAAGAGATTTGCTTCAGCAGAATTGAGTGGGGCAGGGATCCTTGGTATTGTTACACTGCAGAAGTTGTCTGTGAAAATAGACTTGGTTAACTGGGAGCTTAGGCAAGTGGAGAACCCTGACTCTGGTGCAGGAGTAGTGATTGCAGCAGCACGTCAGTGTGCTCCCCTGAAGGCAGTTGAGCCTCTGGAAGTGCCAGGGGACTGGAATTCTGCTGTGTGGAATCTGGTACAGCAGGTTCAGTTAGTCTGGGCAAGGAGGAAAACTGAGTGTGATAAGATTTAGGCATTGAAAAAGGTAGAAGGAGGGGATCTAGTCCCTGAGTGACAGTACAAATTCCAAGAAGAAATAATCAGTTGTATCTAGAAAGTCATTGATGATCTGGCTAAGCAAGGAGTGCTGGCTGAAAAACTGAGCAGAAATAACAGTCCCATCCGGCCAGCACAGAAACATGATGGAAAAATCTGGTAGCTGACGGTGGACTATCAAGCTCTGAATATCAGTGAAGGGGCAAAGTAGTTCTCAGTAGTGGATTTATCTAATGCTTTCTTTGCAGTCCTTTTGCATGCAGATTTTTGTATAAGTTTTCTTTTACTTCTCAAGGTACACAGTACACCTTCACTCAGGTTCCACAGGGATTCCATAAAGCCCCTGCCACATGCCATCACTATGTGGTTAAGACAGGGGTGGGCAAAATATGGCCCGCAGGCTGAATGTGGCCTGCCAGGCCATTCTATCCAGCCTGCGGAACCCCTAAAAAATTTAGAAAATATTTATCTGCTCCTGGCTGCCTGTCAAAGGTGACAGGAGCCTGGGGCAGTAGGAACCAAGGGAAGCGGGCAGCAGGAGGCAGGAGCCCAGCCCCGCTCACCCCAGCTGTTTCTCTGCTTCCTGCCCTTACTCTGCTCCAGCACCACATGGTTTCTGGCTGCACAGCCGGACCTGGGAGCACAGGGCCCCAGCAGTGTGTGTGTGTGTGTGTGTGTGTAGGCAGACAAACTGAGTAACTCTGCAGCAAGCAGATCCCTCTATTATAGAGCTAGTGCAATGGACAGAATTCCAAGGGTGGAAGGTTTGGAAAAACCCAGACGGGATAGTCCTGACTCAGAAAGAAAATGATGAAGAGGCTCCAGTATGGGTGGTCCCAGTCTGAGAGGAGGTGATCTGGATGGTATATATACAAGCAAGGACACCAGGGAATTGATAAACGCTGAAGCAGGTACAGGCAGCAGGTTGGTGGCCAAAGACGTGAGAGGATGTGGAATTATATGTTAACAACTGCTTTCCCTGCATTCCTTATGTTGTGAGGATTGTGCAATACTGCCTGTTTCCTCTTGTACTCGCCTGACATGACTTTGATCTTATGAGGGGAGGAAATAGATTGTTATGATGTTAATTGGTATTCACAGAATAAGTTCCCCAGACACGTTAAGTCACTCCATGGATTTTTAATTCTCGTTTCTTTTACAGCAGCCTGATTTGCAAACAACAGCCTCTTCAACTTGTTCCCAGAACTGCTCGTTAACTCTGGAGAGGAACCCCACCCTCGAGAACCTCAAGGTAAGTCCCCGCCAGTGCTCCGTGGTGCTAATTAACTCATTAGTGAGTGTGGCTACAGTCTCTTTGTCCCATTGCCGGCATAAAACCGGGGTAACCCCTCTTCTCAGTTTCTCTTCCAAGTTTGCTGGGGCTGGTCATAGATTCATAGATTCATAGATGTTAGGGTCAGAAGGGACCTCAATAGATCATCACGTCCGACCCCCTGCCCTGGGCAGGAAAAAGTGCTGGGGTCATATGACCCTGGCCAGATGCTTGTCCAGTCTCCTCTTGAATACCCACAAGGTAGGGGAGAGCACCACTTCCCTTGGAAGCCCATTCCAGATTCTGGCAACCCTTACCATAAAGAAGTTCTTCCTAATGCCCTACCTACATCTTCTGTCTGTCAGTGTGTGGCCATTGTTTCTGGTTATTCCAAGGGGTGCCCTGGTAAACAGAGCATCTCTAATTTCTTGCTGCCCCTCCCCCCCGCCCAAATGAATTTGTAAACAGCCACAAGATCCCTTCTTTTGTGGAGGCTGAAGAGATCCAGGTCCC